CCATGGATTGCCCCTCAGGTCAGGCGGGGCCTGTTGCCGAACTTTTGTTGTTTCCAGCAGTCGTTCGTCATCGCAGGGGTACTCAGGAAATCCACGTTGATGTCGGAGAATTTTCGACGTTGATGTCGAAGAAAACATTCGCCGTCCTTCAAGATACTTGGCAGACGCAAACAATCTAGATACAGAAAAGGAACAATGCGACACGGTGAAGTTGATGATCCGTCAGTGTTTCAGTCGAAGGCAAGGACGCGTAACGATGAAAATGGCTCGCATCAGCCTACCTCATATAAAGATGCAATGAGCAGCCCAGAAAAAGAAACATGGCAAGAAGCCATTCGAAAGGAATTAAAGTCTATGGAAGACTTGAAAGTGTGGAAGTTAACTGAGCTGCCACCAGGCAGAAAAGCAATCGATTCAAGACGGATCTTCAAGGTCAAGTGAATGCACAGGACGGTACCAAAATCTACTAGGCGCGCTTGGTATCACGTGGATACCTACAGCAAGAAAATGTAGACTTCAGCCCTGATCGGATATTTTCTCCGGTCGCAAGACTTGAGGGCGTCCGCTGTGTCTTAAGCATCGCAGCCGAAGAAAAGCTGTATCTCCATCAATTTGACGTCGACACGGCCTTTCTCAATGCTGAGCTTCATGACGAAGTTTACATGAAACAACCAGAAGGAGAAGATGATGGACCAAAGAAAGTCTGGAGACTCTTACGTGCTGTCTATGGTTTGCGCCAGATACCGTTCGAGTTCAGCCAGAAATTCGAGTCCATCCTTCTGAAGAAGGGTCTGAGTCGGAGCAAAACTGACCCTTGCATCTTCTATTGAAATGGGACAGAGATCATCATTATTTGCATCTACGTTGACGATGGCCTGTGCGCAGGAGTGACAAAGAAGGTCGTAATTCAGTTCATAGATTCTCTCGGTCAAGAACTTGAGATAACACCAACTGTCTGTTCTACTATACTGAGTTCTACCTAAGTGTCCCGCGTATAATTTTCTTCGAGGTACACATCCCTCATCTACTCATTGAAATTGCGCCATTTTTCAATGCCCTCGGCTGTGGCCTCTTCGTGAGATTTGCCACTATAGAGCTCAATCTCATCGTCGAGCCTCTGTATGTCCATTAGTCTTCTTTCTCCTTCAGAGGGCTTGTGCTCGCAGAAATATTTATAGAGACCTCGGTTGAGTCGCCTGCTGTGGGCAAGAGCTTCTGCGGTCTTCTGATCGACTCCGGCATCGACGATCATGTTGATGGACGAGGTATCTGGACGAGTTGAGGGATTTGTGGCTAAACGCTTTAGGTCACTGTGTGATCTTGAGGACAGAAGACTTGGAGGCTAGAGGGTGAGGTGAGTCAAGTCAAAAACAGCATGTCTTTTATACTAAACAATAAGGAAGGAAAGAGTCGTGTCTAGAGCGGAGAGCACTCGAGATCCATTGAGAGACTTAAGCATGGACGACCGAAAAAGCTTCGAAACACGGTCCGGGTCTCCGCTCAGATCGTGAAAGTGACCCATGTCCGAATGAATCTAAAATAACGCATGTCCGACTAATTGAACTCGAACAGAACCTCGTGAACGAGCGGATCGTTCGGAGACAAGTGATCTAACAAAGCCGACCCGCTATCGCGCGGCCAAATTAAAAGACCATTTGAAGCAGATTGAGCGGGGTGCGCTTGAGGGCGACTGTCGGATTAGGCGGAATGCATGGGAGCGATTGCTCGCGAGGGTGGGGTGCACTGGACCGGTGAGAAAACAACCACCAGTGAAGACTGCTACCAGTGAAATACCCCAAAAATCAAGTAGCGCTCGAGTCAAAAGGGAAAACGATCTGAATCATGTCTCATAATACCAAATTTTATTTACACAATAATGAAGAGATATTCGTTTCTCGTTGATACCTCGGCTAGAATGATCACACGGAATACTAGAGTCAGTCTAGGGCTCCCCCTTAGCTGGCTGAGGTGTATTGTCCTTATATATAGCGAGTCATAGGAAAGGGTTGAACACAGAAGAGCATCCGAATATGGGTCATACTGAAAACACTGTGTACGGGTTGAGTGGTGACCGTACAGTGACCGTTACAGACTGAGGTTTTCAGTATCTAGAGCGAAAGGTGAAATGGACAATACTCATCATTCTCCCCCATTGGCCGTGTGGCCTTCCACTGGGGTTCGCTCTGACTTCATTCTCTTGGAATAAATCGTTGTTTCGCATGCGATGAGAATTTCGAGTTATTTCCGACGAGTCAGCCAGACTCGAGATAAGGGACTAGCAGATTCCACAGAGATGTGTCGATTTCGAGCATTTGTCAGACAGACATCTGAGGAACAGGAAAGATACAGGGACAGCTCTACACGTTCCGAACATCCAGAGACGATTGCACCTCGATGTCACTTGCTCAGAATCTGAGCTTACCACGATTTTGTCAAGTCACGGGATATGTCGGTCGTTTGGCAAAAACTTTGAGATCGAAATTTAGCGATAATTTCTGTCGCTTCTTACTCTCTAATTTGCCCTCTCGGGGCTTGGCTATTAAAGAGGGGGCCTGTCTCAGACTCTTGGAACACCAACGTGGTTTTTCGATCGTTTGCATCTTTCGAATCCCTCAGTCGGTCTCGATATGGCAAAGTCAGCTATCCCCCCCAAGTCCACGCCGCAAGTCGTCTCAAAGATCTCGCAGGAGTTCTTCCAATTACCGCCCAGTGCGGATCCCACAGCCCCGGCCCGCGAGGAATCTCATTCCGAAGACACTTCCAGCAAGAGTTCTTCCGCGTCCACCGAGCTCGTAGCTCGACTGTTGAAATGGTTGTTTGGAGAACGCCTTTGGGCTACCCTGAAGTTCGGCCTCATGCTGTTATTCATGCTCGCTGTCATTGGGGCGATCTACCGAGGTAAGCAGTCTCCATTGAGCAGTCTCCCCCGTCTATTTTCTCTGGTCACCCATACAGCTTCTATGTTCGATCACATCCCCTTAAAAAAAGCTTTTGTCATCTCAGGGACGGGAACGGACAACTCCGGGGATCACGGGTTGATCCGCGCGCAAGGTGAGATTTTGAATCGCAACGCTTTCGATTGTTTCAGGGGAGACGGCATTTGTGTCTGTCGGTCGAAAGCCGAAGGGAAGTGTGCTTTGTTGAGATCCGACGAGCCCGTTCCGAGGGAGGCGTTGTGCGCTCCCCAAGACAGTCGTCTTGGTCGGGCCATGGGATCCTGTGGACAGGGCAAATTGTACACCTGCTTCGGCGGGTAATGAGCAGTCCTTTCGAAATAAATTGTCTTTCTTCGTTTCCCGACATGTCATCCATCTTTCGAGTTCGTCCTGGAATGTCCATTTCAGGGGTTCCCAGTCTAGGAGCTGTGTCTGTGGTTCGCCTGTGGTTTTTCTCGAAATCTGAGCGAGAAGCTAATGTTATTGATACTCTTGTCGGCTGTTTGGAGTCGTCGAGAAGAGTTGTGGAGGATCAACACAAACAGCTCTCGTTCATGAGAGTGCGATCGCGGCGGCTCTTATTCCGCGCGAGTAGATCGATTCGGATTTAGTCAGTGCACATCCAAATCACGAACGGCAATGGTGTTCCCACTGAAGCGTTGTTCGAGCTCGGTCGACATGGCTGGATTCGTAGTGGTAACGCTGCTCTTCCTAGGGGCTCTTTTAGGTAAATTATTTTCTGGGATTCACGAAAAGTTACTGAGCGTCAGTGTGGGTCACAGATAGGGTTACAGAAAAATTTCCCTTCTTTCTCAGCGATCCACTTTGGCAATTCCGAGCCGGGTGAACTTCACAGAGCGAGCCTAGCAAAGCGTTCGCATTCGGAAGCTAATTCAGGATTCATACAGCTTCCAAATTCAACGGTTGAGAACCGTGTGGTGGAGTCCTCTGAGGTTCCCATCGTTCAATCGACCACTTCGTCGTTCCATCGACTCTCGCGCCTGTCTCTACTTCCACGACATCCACTACTACGACATCCGAACCAGTGTTTCGATCCTCCTGACGGTTTCTCCTTTCTACAAACGTCATCCGTATCAGCCCAGTTCAGCTGAGTCTGGATATCCATCTCGAGGTGTGGTGGTACAGGAGTACCGAAGATCTACCACGACGTCTCCCTCGAGGATGGATTCCAGCTATCGACGAGAGTGGCAGCGAATCGTTTCTACCGAGATGCCGATCTCTGGCAGAGCTTTGCATATCCGCACTGCTACAGCTCATCCTCCCAGAGCTTTCTTCTCAAGTGCTACGATAAGGCCATCATCTTCCTATCTGACCACTCGGGCTACTAGGGCCACTCCTTCTTCTCGATCTTCAACTGTTCGATCATCCTCTACTACCGGTAAACCAGTGTCGACTAGTACGAGCACCCATAAACCTTCTTCAACCACCAATTCAATCACTCCAGCAAGTGTCATTGTTACGACATCGACCGCTCCGTCGAGTTCAACCAAGTCGACGCCGGTCGAGCCGGTTACTCCCTTATCTTCATCATCTTCCGTCTCTGCGTCGTTTTCTCCCACGACTGGAAATTCATCGATTTCGAGTACTGTTCACTCGATACCCAGCACTACAGTTTCAAATTCCTTTGAGATTGATTTCAGATGGCATTTATGCATCTGGCTAGAAGAGGTGCGACTGTGTAGTCGTCGACTTTCACCATGCGATAAGGGATCGAATGACGGTGACAAGCTCCTCTCCAGCAACCTCCTATGCCAGTGTCGCCGATCTGATGAGGATAGCCAATGACTGCCGAGATCATACGATCTACAAGGCGGTCGAATAAATTTTCTTCCTCAGTGAGGGAGCAAAGTAAACGTGCGTTTATTGTGGGTATGATAGAAGGATGAATCAAATATGATCAGAGATCTCCGACGGTTTCTCTAGAAGTTGAAATAGCCGAGACCGGAGTCTACGAGGCTAATCACGAGGAGGGCTACCAGGAGCCTTGCCGCCATTGAATCCTGCAATTCCGAGCAGTGTATGAAGCTTTTTGAAATCCAACTTCTAAGTCAGGAAATCTGCGGCGTTCACCTCACTGGAGCAACATTCGACGTTGACCTCTCCGTTGAGGTATCTCTCTCTGACGTAGTAGAACCTCACCTCAAAAAGTTTCGCGTTCTTAAATTGTTGCGAAGATTCGGTCAGTCGAATCGTGGCCTCGTTGTCAATGAGTAGGGTCGGTTTCACGGGGTAGTGGAGCTCGTTCAGAAGTTTTGCCGTCCAGATCGCCGCTTTACAAGCCTCTGAGGCGGCGATCAGCTCCGCGACCATGGAGCCGGTGGAAACACAGCTCTGGCGCTGGTTGCAGCAGCGAATTGCTCCTTCTCCGAACTTGACCAGGGAGCCAGAAGTGCTCCGTCTGGTGTTCTCACACATAGCGAAATCTGCGTCGCTGTGGACCTTGAGTTCGCGTGAACCGCCACTAGAGTGAAAGGGGCTGTGAGTCTTGGTTCCACTCAAGTATCTCAAGATGTGCAACCCCTGTTTCCACAACTGTTTCTTTGGGCAATCCAGGTACCTCGACAAGAAGCCTACTGCATAGGCTATATCTGCTCTTGTCGCAATCGCGAGGTACATCAGTCCGCCGACGAGAGAGCGGCACGGCAGTGACACATCAATCTCGCCATCGTAGGCGGATTCTGCACTGCTGTCAAGCGGCGTCTTGGCCGGCTTGCAACTCGTCATACCAAATCTTTCCAACAAGTCGGCAATGCACTTCGAGTGATGGATGTGGATAGTTCTAAGGTCTGGGGAAATGTCTATGTGCAACCCCAAGAAGAGTTCCTGTGGTTTGAAAGTGATTTCAAGTGCCTTACCGAGTGCAATGAGGAATTCTTCGGCATCTTCTTTGCATGAGGCTCCCGTAATGCCATCATCGACATATGGAACTACCACAAGCCGTTTCGGTCCCTCGGAGAAGAACATGCACGGGTCCGAGGTGCTCTGGGTCAATCCCAGCTCCAGGAAGCATTTCTTGATTTTGCTGTCAAATTCTTTCGGAGCTTGCTTCAATCCGTAACAAGCTTTCAGCAGCTTGCAAACTCTCCCAGATACGTCCTAAAAACCTTCTGGCTGAGGGGTGTAAATTTATTCTATGAGATCTGAGTGCAAGAAGGCCGTAGCCACATCAAATTGATATACATAGAGTCAGTGCCCCCTGTGCTGAGACCGCTAGGAGCGTTCTGATTGTTTCGAAACGAGCTACTGGGGCATACAGTTCCTGGAAGTCCCTTCCAGCGACCTGATTGCAACCTTTAATCACAAGACGAGCTTTTCGGCGGATAATAACCCTATTCTTATCCTCCTTCGTTTTGGAGATCCATCTACTGCCTATGGTGCGCTTTCCCTTAGGAAGTTCCGAGAGTTCCCACACATTGTGATGCTTCATCGAAGCAATCGGACATAGCCTTCAGCCGTTCCTCTCTGTAAGGTGAACTACCATTCTTCATTAATACTGTTGGGCGCGTCCGCCACTTCATTTACACTAGTGTTCTGTTTCTCAACGCTAGATGGCGCTGCATCTGCGTAGCCGGCTTGATATCTATCAGGTGCCTTCAGCTAGGATCGATCTCTAAGTCTGCGGCCTGCATGACTAGGAGGGTTAACTTCACCTTCTCGCCTGTCGACAGCCGCTCCGGCGGCAGGTACTTCTCCGGAAGCACCGGCATCTAATTCTTCATCGGCTAGTTCTACGGAGGGCTCAGGTACGCGCTCCGCTTCTTCGTCAGCATCGGCAGTAAGTCCGTCTCTGCTGCTGCTCTCTCCACTCTGCGCCGTCTCACTCGACGGATTCTCTGAATCATCGTCTAACGCAGTGTTTCCCAAACTGGGTTCCGCGGAACCTTTGGGGTTCCGTGGCGGATTGCGCGGAACCCCAAAGTCTACCTGCGGAACCCCTACGGAACCCCGTCGAAACCCCTAGGGGTTCCGTGGAAGAAAAAGTTTGGGAAGCACTGGTGTAGCGGGCTGAGTTTGGCTATTTTCACATCCCTTGTCTGAATGACCCGTGTTGTACCGGGTAGCCAAACTCTATAGCAGGGGTGTCAAAGTCAAATCTTCGGCGGGCCACGGAGGAGCACTGGGGGAAGCCGGCGGGCCACATCCTAAAATTTTTTCGACATTATTCCTAATTCACGTTGTTCGAGCGGAGGGATCGAGGAGGTGAAGGAAAACACATACATATATGTATGATGGATCACAATTGATTCTCGGTAGTTGATTAAGTTACAACGATATTCGAAACACAACACCTTGAATTATTTTTTCGAATCGGTACTGACTATGCACCGTGTCTTGACGCTGGTAAGCTCTTTCAAGTCGACTTCGAAGGAAGTCGTGGCTATTCTTGACGCTGATGTCAAGTGATGCTGAGTTAGACGCGATCGCGTTTGCGACTTTATCGCGTTCATACGAGAGAAGTACTGTTCGCAGGTGTACGTACTGCCAAACATTGACAGTACCTTGACCGCATTCGCATGAATGTTCGGATATTCTTTCGGAGAGACGTGTTGATAGAATTTCTAAAGTTCCAGGGTGTCGAATTTGCATCGGAGCTCAGTAGAGCATTGGAAGCTGATGAGTTCCAACTGGAGGTCGGCTTCTGCGCTAGATGCGTCAACGGCGAAAGGGCACGAGAACAACTTTGGTTGGGGTTCCAGCTGCTCGATTTCTGTCAAACGCTCTGCTACAGTATTCCTCGATAGGCTTATATTTTTGAAATTTTGGAGCTTATCGGGGCATATAATGGTGACTGCGGAGAGTAAGCAGTTCTTGATGAATTCTCCGTCGGAGAATGACTTTGAGTTTTCCGCGTAGAGCTGTGCTATCGTAAAACTCGCCTGAACTGCGCTTTCGCTTTCGTTATCCGCCTTTGTGAAGAAGCCTTTTTGTCTGATCAAGCTATCCTTGAGTCTTTCGACTTTTTCCTTTCTGCAGACTGCAGGGCGAAAAGACCAGGATACATCCATGGAGACTTGTGCTCACCCGCAGAACGTTCTCTGACCGGCTTCAATCATTTCATGTGCCTGACAGACGACTTCAGTCGTTTCAGAAGAGTGTACTTCCTGAAGACGAAGGAACAAGCAGCAGAAGCCATCTGACAATACACTCGGTGGTTCCGAAACAAGTTCCAACGTGACATCGACCGGCTACACAACTACACACGGACTATGGAAGTGAGTTCTTCAATGCTACTGTCACCAAAATTCTCACTGATATCGGAGCTGATCAGACCGCTTCTAACCCGAGAACTCCGGCTCAGAATGGTATGGCAGAACGAAGTAATCGAACATTAGTGGAATTAGCAAGAACCATCCTCATAGATTCCAAACTGCCCAAATCCCTGTGGTGTGCACCCTAAATCCCGAAAACCAGGAATCCCGAAATCCCGAAAACCCGGAATCCCGAAAACCTTGAATCTTGAAAACCCTAAATCCCGAAAACCCGGAATCCCGAAAACCCTAAATCCCGAAAATTCGGTCGCCCGAAGAGTAGCTCGCACAGATCCACCAAGTGTCAAGCGTGGATCACAAGCGCAGCTGAAGGCGTGGAACACGGATTTCAATAGACTTAGGCTCGGGTCATCCTTATGGTGGGGTTATTAGGTTTATAAGGTTATGCTGATGCTTTTACCATTTTATGCTTTCGAAGAAGAACCAGCGGAATCATGGAGATTGAAGCCGGTATTGCGCACTTACTCGATAAGACTGATCTGCTCCGACCGAAATTGCCTCCGACTTCGTGATTCTTCAATGCCGATATTCAAGGACAGACACGTTGCATGGTTCCTACCCCTAGCGTGGGATGGACAAAATTTCTCAGCTTGAATACACGCGAATCCCAGCAGCGTCGCGGCGAAACGGCTCCACTCTCAAGGTTTCGTTCATCTGGTTCCAGACAACAGGGTGATGCGGAATTCCGGGTTTTCAAGATTCCGGGTTTTCGGGATTCCGGGCTTTCGGGATTCCGGGTTTTCGGGATTTAAGGCGTTCGGGATTCAGGGTTTCCGTGATTCCGGAGCGTGGCAGTGCGCGTAACGAAGAAAATGGCGGAAGCTATCAAACGTCTCCAGAAAATCCAGAAAGTGTTCCAGCCATAAAAACAATTGAACAACCAGTGGAGCAGCCTGAACCAAGCAACCGGCAGGAGCAGAGTGACCAACCAGAAGATGTCAACCAGAATCGAGAAACACCGACCGAATCACCGCAGGCGAGTGGTTCACGAGAAAACGAGAGCAACCCTCTCCCTACGCTCCCGACTGGAGACAGTCAAGTTAGTACTCGAAGAAACAACAGGAGAAGACCTAGAAGGCAGTACGAACTTAACCCTGAACGTTTAGCATCACTAAGACTGCGTATCAAACGAAATAATAGGCATGAGGCAAGACATCCCACTAATAAGGCCATCGCAAACATTAGCAAATCGAACCAGATAAAAGAACCCAATACGTATGAAGAGGCTATCTGATAAACGTCAGGAATGGCTTGAAGCCATGGAAGCTGGAATGAACAGCATGAAGACATTGAATGTGTGGACATTGACCACACTCCCACCTGGACGCCGAAGCTTAGGTTGTCGGTGGGTCTTCGAAGCAAAACGAAATGCTGAGGGAAGTATCGAAAGATTCAAGGCCAGAATTGTTTTCAATCCTTCTCGTGTCGAGTCATGTACACAACAACAAAAATTATTGACTCCTCTCCCACTAGGTGACGCTCCCGATTTCCCGCTACCATTCGAATTATACTCTCTAATCATTTCATTATCAGACATTCCCCGAGTATAGAAGGCCTCTGCCTCATTCCGTCGCTATATGTTCACTCCGATAGCTCTAATGGGTACAGGTGTTTTATGGGTCTCTGGATTCGTCGGTTTTCGTCTATCTTGAGGAAACATGACCTTGTTGCTCCATCTCTGCCTACGTTGAGCGATTCTACTTTTCCGAGCTTCCAGAAGAGTTTTGGCTTTTTCTCGTCCTTGATTATAACCTCTTGGCCGACCTTGAGTTCCGAGTCCGTAGCGTTTGCTGTCTCATGGGAATTACGAAGCAGGGCTAGGTATTCTGATTCCCATCTCCTCCAGTTCATTGGCGTGAGGACTTCAATGTTCTCGGAGTCAGTGACCTGGCATAGGGGTCCTCTGTTCATCATCTCTTCTATCTCGCAAACGACGGTCTGCAGTTCCTCTAACCTCAGAGTCTGCCTCCCGATCACTTTTTTGAGTGTGGACTTCAGGATTCCTATCAGTCGCTCGACAAAACCGTTCATCCATGGGGCTTTCTCGACGTTGAAATTCCACACGATACCCTCCCGCGCCAGTGCGTTCGACACCTCTCTCTCCGACCATAGTCTTGATACTTGGCTGAGGTCTTCCGCTGCTCTCTTGTACGTGGCTGCATTATCCGAAAACAGGCTCCTGGGGCATCCGCGTCGGGCTTTGAACCTTCTGAAAGCCATTAGGAAATCTTTCGTCGACAATGACGTGACGCTCTCAAGGTGGACTGCCCTGCTGGCACAGCAAGTGAACAGGTTGATCCAGACCTTCGTCTCAAGCCCATCCGCCGTGATGTACAAGGGTCCCGCCATATCTGTTCCGACATGCGCGAACGGTGCCGATCTGTTCACTCTTATCTCGGGTGGCTCTCCCGTGCTAGTGGAACAGGGCTTCGCATGGAAGCGTCTGTAGTTATAGCACGATCTGACGACCTTTCGTAGTATCTGTCTCGCCCTCGGAATCCAGTACGCCCTGCGCGATTCCACCAGGCATTGGTTGACTCCCGCGTGGCAGTTTCTTCTGTGGATGTCCTGGAGATACAGCAGTGTAGCTCGATGTTGCGGGGGAAGTATCGGTGGGTTTTTGGGAACTTCGCCCCGGTGACTTCCCAACCTTCCGCCTACGCAGAGGAGACCGTCTCGCAGGAAGGGCATCAACGACCGAATTTTAGACTCCTCTGGCATATCCTGCTTCCTTCTAGCTCTGTCCATTTCTGCTGCGTACGCCTGCCGCTGAATCTGCTGGACGACTCTTGACTCCGACTGTCTGAGCTCGTCGACGCTGAACGGATCGGCCGCTTCCTCACGTTTCCTTTCCTTCCGAGTAACCGCGATGAACCGTAGTACGAATGCCATCGACCTGATCAACTTGTACCAGTTGTCGATCCGGTCGACGTCAAGAACCACCTCCACCTTCGGTTTTACTTTGACAATCGCTGCCGTTAGCTTTTGCAATTCCGGTTGTACTGGCCACCGCGACTGGTCACTCTTGATGAAGTCTGGTCCCGAGAACCACATCGACGAACCAAGCTCCTCGACACTGCACCCGCGGCTCACGATGTCTGCCGGATTTAACGTCCCCGGGACATGGTGTATCCGCGCGTCCCCGATCAGGTTGCGGATTTTTGCCACTCGGTTACGGACGAAAACCGGAAGCTGCTCCGATTGTTGACTATGTGCCTGGTAGTAGACTCCGGTGTTGTCGGTCCAGATGTGGTATTCATCCACCCTGAATCGTAGTTGTCTCTTGAGGTAACCGCAGGTCTACGCCGCCAGGTTAAGTGCCATGAGTTCCAAGCGTGGGATCGTGGCGGTTTTCAATGGTGCTAACCTTGATCTGGCCATTAGGAAGCTTGTGTAGGATGTTCCCCGAGCGTCCGTGAAGACAATATAAGCCACGGCGCCATACGCTATGATGCTAGCGTCGCCAAACAGATGAACTATCGCTCTGCCCCCAGTCGCTTCGCCGACCTGGCATCGTCTGGGCAACTCGATCTTTTTGTTGATAGTTTGTTGATACAAGCCGCCAATATGAACGGTGACGGACCCATGCCGAAACAGTTTCTTGTTAGCCTGAACACCTGCGGTTGACCGGTGCCCTGTGAGTCCCAAAGAAGTCTCAGTGCGTCCCCGTCGTCTTCATGAATGACGATTTGGGGGAAGGACTTCTCTATGTCGTTTCGTCTGAAGTTGAGAATTATTGCTAGTAGATCACCGTTCAGGTTTGGCCTGTTGCACAATGCTTCGTTCAATGACGTCCGACTCTTCTCCTTCGCTGATGCGTCGAACACGATTCTCAGTTTGGTTGTGAGACTGTTCTCTTTCACCACTTCCCTGTGCGGGAGATATGACACGACCCTCCCGTCAGCCTGCCCCGGACCCACTTTTTCGAGGAATCCCAGCTCCATCATGCTGCGGAATTCTGCGTCGTACCTCTCGCGGAGTCCGCTTCTACGTGAGCGCGTCTCCAATGAGCGGAGTCTCGCCAAGCACAGGTTTTTGTTCTCTCCTGGGTGTATGCCTTCTTTGAACGGTAGCCGGACTATGAACCTCTTTTCTTCGATGTCGTATTTTACTCGCTTCATGAACTCGCTCAGGAAGCTTGCATCGGATTGTCTTTCCTGTCCGTCGAGTTGAAGTGCATCTGCCTCCACAATCCGTCGGAAGTTGTCTTCGAGCTCTTTGTCAACGTCGGACCTGGTCTTCTGTGGTGCAGGAAGCTGTCTCAACTCTGTTTTTGTGATCAAGCATTGGGTGGTGCGGTGTTGCTTCGTTCCGCGAGTTGCCTCGGGGCTGTTTTTGCACCCAAATAGAGTCCAACCCAATGCTGTTTTCACAACTTCCAGCGTTCTACTGAGTTCATGGGCAGGTGCGTTTCGCGGTGCGAATTCCACTTGATGGTCCAACCCGATTAGAATGTCGATTGGTTCCTCTGTCTCAGGATCGTCCGCCAGCTTGATGTTCATTTTCCTCAACTTCTCTTTGATCTCTTGGTCCACCTTGGGTTTGAACTTGTCGCCGCAGATCTCTCCAACTGTCTGACAGGATATCCAATACTTCTGCGAGTCTCTTCCTTCAGCTTGTAGTCTCAGTTCGACCTTTGAGGTATCGGTTGCTGAGGACGTTCCATCGAACATCGTTATCGCCATCTGACTCCTCGGTTTGTCGGCTAGATTAATTCCCAGAATCTGAGTTAGCTTGATGGTGATGAAGGACATTTCCGCCGCGCTGTCGAATAGTATTCGAACTGGGTGTCGGGTTCCTCTTGGACCGATTGCGAAGGCTCAGACTGCCATGTAACTTTCGGAAGTCGCCTGCCATAGCCGTTGCTGCTTCTCCTCTGGTTTGATTTCTCTCGTACAGACCTCAGATCAGTGGGCTGCACTCTTGCAGAAACAACACGCGGAGTCTGATTCCGCTGGACCTTTGACTGAATCGTGCTCACCAGTCACAGGAAGCGCCGCTGTTGTCGGAGTGTATGCCTCGAGTTTTCTTCGAGGAAGGACTTTATCAAATTTACGAGTGATCTGAGTGCTTCTAGATCATATCGCGATTGGATGAGTAGAATACCGAAAAGCTTCTCCGTGAAGTGAGCCATCACTCTTTCCTGACTCCCGAACTCTCCTCTCAATCTTTCGATCGCGGTTTCGTGAAATTCCTCTGACACGGGAATCGTCTTCAGCTTGTTTAACACGTTCGCTGACGAGTACTGTCTAAGTAAGGTAATCGTATTTTGACGTGAAAACGTCTTTAAAATGGCTCCAGTAGCCGGTCAAAGAAACTTCGTCCTCCATGTAACGAAATCTAGTCCGCTTTTGCGGGGCTGCATCTCCGTTGATAAGAATCAGATTATCAAGAGGATTGGGTCGGAAGATTGCAAAACGGGACATTGTTCCGATGAATTTTCGTCCGGAACCGAGCTGAGAAAGAGGTCCCATTAGACAATTTCAGTCGACCCTCGGAAACCTCTATTCAGCCGCATAAATAATAGTTTTCCAGAATAGGGGAAGAATGGTCGGCTCAAGCAATTGAATAGAAGTAAGACTCAGATGTACATATATTGGCGACGACACGGACTTCAAGTGACTCAAGACTGCTTGTCCGGGGAATAATCGAGCTCGTAGGGATACCTATTCCTTGCTCTGGTGGAGAAAACCGCAGCGGCTATGCAGGCTTTCTCTATCTACTTTCAGACCGCGTATCAAATAAGTTTCTCGCACTTAGGATTCTGATCGGAGGAGGATCTTGAATTGAACAGGTATCTGAGTGGACCTTATCTCGTCCGTCCGCAATTGGAAACTGAGGTTTCGCCGAGATTCGATAGATGTAAGAAATTCCTTCGAAGACGATCGATTCGCTGTGGACAGACGTTGATTTATTATCTGATCCTCTATGTCGAACATCGATTCGCTATTGGGCACATGGTTCACTATCTAGAAAATACCTGTGGACAGACGAATCGATTTTCTAGGACTTTAGCGCACACGCGACGTCGACTGACTTCTACTGACGACTAGTACGCGCGCCGTCGCTGCTGTCGCTATGGTCTCGTCTCCGCTAGAGCGCGCGAGATTTGAACTTGATGACGGGGAGTCATAGGAGCAAGTTTACACCTCCCCTCCCCCGAGTGCCTTCGCGCGTCGAAGTTTACTGACATGGAAGAGATTCGCTTCTTTCTTCCTTTTGCCACAATCTATTTCATACATTGAATTCGAGATCTTTTTTACTACTCTGAAGGGGCCACCCCTGACCTCTTCGAGTTTTCCTCTGTTCAAACGATTTCCATTTTCAACATACGCGTATTCGCCAGCTCTGAAACCTTCGTCTTTTCTGAGCCGATCGATTCTCCGCTTATTCCTCTCGAAATTGCTTATGGAATTTAAAAGGGCTTCCGAGCGATCTTTCTGCATGTCGCGGCTCTCTATAAGTTCACGTGGTATGATATCAGAGGTTTTCCCGTACATGAGGTAGTCTGGCTCAAATTTGGTCACGCTATGGGTGGTACGGTTGTACTCGTCCACGCAGTCCTCCGCGATCTTCGACCACGCTCTTCTGTCACCGCCATTGAGTTTACATCGGATTCCATTAACCAGGGTTTGATTGACTCTCTCGTTCAAACCATTCGAGGCCGCATTGTTTATAGAGGTAAATACTAGGAGGATATTTTTCTTCTCTAGATAGTGTTTCAGTTCATGGCTCTTTCACCTTTTCCTCCTAGCTTCCCCCAGTCCCCCTCCCCCTTTTCGCGCTCGCAGTTCCTTTTGAGAATTATAGGGTCATCCCTTTGCGAGCTGCTTCACCAAAAAAAAAAAGTTCGGTCGAATTTATCGCAGGATATTGATCCGCGAATATGATTCTCACGTCTTGGTTTCCTGCAGCTCTTTCGATGAGATTGATGAAATCCTTAGCTGCCGGACCCTTACTGGTGGAGATGAACACTCTTCTCGAGAAGTGGTCGACCAATATGTGCATATATCGTTTGGGTGACCTATGCCCAGCGAAACTGATGGAATCTGGGCTCACTAGCTAAGTCTGTGGACACCAATCTGAAACAACACCCTGTGAATCTGGAAGATCACGGCACAAAAATAAAGAGTCAGTGGTTCGGTGAGAATACTACTGCTCCTTAGCTCCTCAGTTTATTACACACAGGTATGCTCTTATATATACCCTTCCAGGGAAGGGGAATACCCGTAACCAACCGTATTAGTAACCCACTTGGCTAAGTGGAACACTGTACGTTAGTCAGGAAGTCACTGCTTCCTGTATCATTACTTCCTATACCCGAAGCGACATGCCTCAGCTATACCAGAAATATTGGTATATTTCATCATCCTCCCTTAGATGATGCAGTCGCTTCGGCTTACATGATAGGTGTATTCCCATAACTCGGATACGATATTGTTAACCTATCTTAATCATGTCCATTGACGTCTTGTCGATTCGATATCGTCGTCTTCGAATCTAAAATTCTCGAGCGTCAAATTTTGCGTGAATCCCGCACGAAATATGTTAACTAATGGTTGGTTCTCTAATTCATCTATAAACATAAAAATTCGTCGGGTTAACCCCTCTAGAACTTGCTGTTGAATTTTGTTATGGAAAGCTGCACGAGTCAGGTAGGAGACTCGTCTTTGGTACGAGGGGCCGCTGACCAGCCAACAAGAATGAATCACATTAGGTGTCGCTACTACCTGGTGACGATGCATCAACCATGTCCTCAGTATGGCTTTGAATCCATCG